ATTAAATTAATAAATTTACCTGGGCAATACATCACCATGCAGCTTGATCAGACTGCAGACAGTCAGCGAAGAAAGAGGGCCGGTTTGCGCGCGTTTCATTTTGCCAATGATGTCCTCGGCAATATCAGGATAGAAAAGCCAATCCCCCTTTTCAGTTCTACAATTCTGTCTGCAACGCTGTATGGCTGTGAGGTGTGGTCACTCATTGAAGCCGAAGAGCGCCAACGCACGGTCATCGAGATAGTCATGGAAAGAAAAATATTGGTGATCTGACCTCACGACTATATCTTCAACACGAGCATCAAACAGCGTACCGTAGTGAGGGACATCGCTATCAAAAGCATATATGATGAACGAGGCACGTCTTGCACCTCGTTGGGAACTAAGCCACTTGGTCGCGCACGAAGATCCTGGGGAGACATCAAAAGCCTCAAAGGTCGCGTTTTGAGGAAGAAAGTTCGAAAGCACATGGAATGGCAGGCGAGTTTCGGCCGGCGCGATTATAATCAATTACCGACCGATCTAAGTGAGAATTTATAATTCTGATTGTATATGCCGACGCATTAAGGTATATCCTTCAGTCCTTCGTTGGAACATGTTTCGCTTGATTAAACAAAGCTCTGCTGTTGATTGTTCCTGCGCTGCAGGTGCTGAATCACCATGGAGATGGTCAGCTTCAAGGGCCAATTCTTTAGGCAACTACGAGCTGGGTGAAGGTATAACTGTGTGTAGGAACGAGAATAAGTGACAGGATAATGAACATAACTTAATAGGCGAAATCCTCATTTCATAGTCTGAACGATACGATGCCCAGTTTCGAAGTGCCTTGTCCAATTTTGTACGGTACATTTAACCAGAACATTCCACGTCTCTTCTATTTCCGAATGTCATTCTTTCAGCATCATTATGTAACGAGTCTGTATCTCCGGAAACTGCTATCATCCGCGGATTTTTCGCAAAAGTTGTGTTATTTTATTCCCACTGTATGGTCGTCGTATGGGGCCAGTGTCTTCTCTGTACCGACTATGAGGGCAGGAGGCAACATAGAGGAACAAAGTAGTTGCAGATTTCATTTCAGCCAGCAATATTTTCTACTGCAATACAGTAACTGGTGCCTCGCTGCAAAGTGTTGAAAAGCTGGGACTATGCTGAACATCACAAACCAGGATCGTTTATCTTATGCAACCGGCTCAGAACCATAGATCGTCGTTGCTGATTCAGAGTAACTGATATTAAAACGGTGTATCATCTTGCTTTCTCCTAAGGTGGATATTCAAGTCCTATCCTTTCTCTGCGGAGAGCTAATGGTCTACCCTTACTTCAGAGAAAAATGACTTTAATCCACAAGCGGTCCACCAATCCCTCGGGTTCCTACACAGCTTAACGGTCGTCAGTATTTCCTTCTGATCAAATACCCTTTACTTGTTTTCTGCTAGGTGTACACCAAGTATGACTTTGCGAAACATACTCTACAGTGGTCTACAGTAGTTTGGTTAAAGCTTGGAACACCACTGGTCCCCCGATGTGCAAAAAAACATTGAGGCCATCACTAATCTTTCTCTGAGTGTAGCCAGTCGTCTGATGCAGTTGGTGCCATTAGATGCAAATCAGTCGAATGATGGCGAAACTGTAATTTACTTCCTTTCAATCTTGTCCAGCATATGGTATTTGTTGGCCACTTGCTTTGTTTGTGTTTGAATGCTATTTTTGCAGATTCGAAAATTAAAATGCGAATATTTTCGACAATTCATCTGATAATTAGTCCTTCTATTTAACGTTTTTGGCAAAATATGCAGCATAAGTGGTTTATTTACAACTGGATAATAAACATAATTTACGTCGAAGTTTTTGATCCATGCGAAACAAGAATACAACCTTTTGGCGTAACGTTCAAACTGAATGAACGAATGGCTTGGTCTCTAGTAAAAACACAACAAATGTTTTGCCTAAATCTGATCATTTTGCCATGACACATGTTGCTTGCTAATTTTTTATTTTGTTTCATTTTTTTCGTATCAGTAATTTAAATCGGCCAATGATTTATTTGAATGGTTTGGCTTTGTTTCGATGCGCTATTTCAGGTCTGGTTTCCGACTGGCCTGTTGTATGCTGCGTGCACCATTCGGTCTTTATGCGAAGCCCCCGTAGTTAAACACTGAATTTTTTACGCTGCAACATCGGTATGCAAACCTCAATGCTCGAAGAGGCTGGTTCTCTATGGCACGAGAAGCTTCTTCGGTCTGAAATAGCGGGGGACTTGTTTGGTCAGTGATAGAAATTCTCGTTGAATGAGCTGGCCTATCAACAGTCCATGGGGTGCTCACAAATTACGCTGCGATCTAACCAGATTCGGGTTAGAGAACCCTGATACACGAAGCTTCATATATGAATGAGCATTAACTGAGCAAGATCCACTGAACGTAAGTGAGTTACAAGGGTTTTATGTGCTGTAAAATTTCAAAAGGCAAATAACTGCTGAGTCACTGAAACATTAGATAAAAGTTAGTGTGCCTCGTGACCATTAAATCGTGAAAACAAGCTATATTAATTATATCCAGATGAGGTTCTTGTCTACGGTACGGTCAGAGGAGAAACCGCTGAGGAAGTGTTCACTGCAGAAAAAAGATTCCGAACGGACCAAGACTCACCGAGCAGTCACTGGAAACCCATTTGATTTGGGTGAAGGGCAAGAAGACGTTCTGAATAAGACGCTTGACATCCCTGGACAGAAGCCAAAATTATTCGCTTAGCTTGAATGAGAAGCATCAACGAAAATCACCCTCAGTCCCC